TGGGTGACTGGGCAACAAAATGGCAGATGAAATTTAATGTTGGTAAATGCAAAGTGATGCACATTGGAAAGCATAATCCCAACTATACATATAAAACGATGGGGTCTAAATTAGCTGTTACCAGTCAAGAAAGAGATCTTGGAGTCATTGTGAATAGTTCTCTGAAAACATCCACTCAATGTGCAGCGGCAGTCAAAAAAGCGAACAGAATGTTGGGAAGCATTAAGAAAGGGATAGAAAATAGGACAGAAAATATCATGTTGCCTCTATATTACGGGTCAGCAACCTTTCAGAAGTGGTGTGCCGAGTCTTCATTTATTCACTCTAATTTAAGGTGTCGCGTGCCAGTAATACATTTTAACATTTTTAGAAGGTCTCTCTCTATAAGTCTATAATATATAACTAAACTATTGTTGTATGTAAAGTAAATATGGTTTTTAAAATGTTTAAGAAGCTTAATTTAAAATTAAATTAAAATGCAGAGCCCCCCGGACGGGTGGCTAAGACCCGGGCAGTGTGAGTGCCACTGAAAATCAGTTCGCGTGCCACCTTTGGCACGCTTGCCATAGGTTGCCTACCCCTGCTCTATATAAATCCATGGTACGCCAACATCTTGAATACTGTGTGCAGATGTGGTCACCCCATCTCAAAAAAGATATATTGGAATTGGAGAAGGTTCAGAAAAGGGCAACAAAAATGATTAGGGGTATGGAACAGCTTCCATATGAGGAGAGATTAATAATACTGGGACTTTTCAGCTGGGAAAAGAGACGGCTAAGGGGAGATATGATTGAGGTCTATTAAATCATGACAGGTGTAGAGAAAGTAGATAAGGAAGTGTTGTTTACTACTTCTCATAACACAAGAACTAGGGGTCACCAAATGAAATTAATAGGCAGCAGGTTTAAAACAAACAAAAGGAAGTATTTCTTCACACAGTTCACAGTCAACCTGTGGAACTCCTTGCCGGAGGATGTTGTGAAGGCCAAGACCATAACAGGGTTCAAAAAAGAACTAGATAAGTTCATGGAGGATAGGTCCATCAATGGCTATTAGCCAGGATGGGCAGGAATGGTGTCCCTAGCCTCTGTTTGCCAGACGCTGGGAATGAGCGACAGGGGATGGATCACTTGATGATTACCTGTTCTGTTCATTCTCTCTGGGGCACCTGGCACTGGCCACTGTCAGAAGACAGGATACTGAGTTAGATGGACCTTTGGTCTGACCCATTAGGGCTGTTCTTATGTTTCCCATTTTGTATGTATGCAACTGATTGTTCCTTCCTAAGTGGAGTACTTTGCATTTGTCCATATTGAATTTCATCCTATATATTTCAGACCATTTCTCCAGATTGTCCAGATCATTTTGAATTCTGATCCTGTCCTCCAAAGCGCTTGCAACCCCTCCCAGCTTGGTATCGTCCGCAAACTTTTTGAGTGTACTCCCTATGCCATTGATGAAGATGTGAAGACTCAGACCTGGGGTAGATCTCTGGGGGGACCCCACTTGATAGGCCCTTCCAGTTCGATTGTGAGCCATTGCTAACTACTGTCTGAGTACCGCTTTCCAGCCAGCTGTGTACCCACTGTGTAGTAGCTTTGTCTAGGCTGTTTCCAAGTTTGGTTATGAGGTCATGTGAGACGGTATCAAAAGCCTTACTCAAGTCATGTATTATCCAGATGAGCTCTTCCCCACTTAGGGGCAACACCGCGGCCTGTTTCTTCTCCTCTCCTCAGCTTGATTCATCCATGGAAATTCAGGCTTAACACCGAAGCGGGGACTGGTGATTCTCCCGTAGCAGATGTGCTAGGTCACTTGTAGTCTCCTGAAGACTATTTGCCCAGGGGTTCCCCTCCAAAACCTTTCCCCTCCACTGAGCATCTACAAGCCAGCGGAGATCTGCAACCTGTGCATTTCTAGTGGTAGACAAGGGCCTGCTATGGGAGGGACTGGCTAGCTCGCAGGTTGGCAAAGGGACATGGAGCTTCTTGTCTCTTGGTTCTGGGTTCAGTAGGAGAGTGGTTAGAGAGTCACAGGCTGCTGGCCCTTGGTTGGCTCATCACTTGGAGAGGAAGGTCAGCGTTGTGGCACTGTACTGAGACTCAGGAGCTCTCGGTTTGATTCCTGGAGCTATGGACGACTTACTGCATGTCCATCCCGTCGTCTCCCTCAGCCTCAGTTCCTCATCCGTACCAGTAGGAGAATAGTTCCTTTCTCCCATCCTATTTGGATTGAAAGCTGTATGGGAAATGAATGGTCTCTTAATATGTTGTCTGTACCGCACCTTGCACAAGGGCTCCCTGAACTCAGCTGGGGCCTCCAGGTGCGACTGTTAGTTCTTAGCAGCACGCTGTGCTTTAAAGAGGCAGCTCGTAAAGAGGTCCGTGGAGACAGGGTAGTTCTGTATTTTCTCTTCACTGCCACGAGCTCTACACTCACCGACAGCCCTGGAAGGTGTTATGTGGAGACAGGGCTGCCGAGGTGAGATGAAGGTTGAAAGGTCCAGTCGGTGGCCCCAAAGCTAGCAAAGCCATTGTAGTTTTGGAAATAAATGGACGCTACAAAGACAAGTATCAGGGGGTAGCCGTGTTAGGGTACATCTACACTTACCTCCGGGTCCGACGGCAGGCAATCGATGTTCTGGGATCGATCCCGGAAGTGCTCGCCGTCGACGCCAGTACTCCTGCTCCGCGAGAGGAGTACGCGGCATCGACGGGGGAGCCTGCCTGCTGCGTCTGGACCCGCGGTAAGTTCGGACTAAGGTACTTCGAATTCAGCTACGTTATTAACGTAGCTGAATTTGCGTACCTTAGTCCGAAGTGGGGGGGTAGTGTGGACCAGGCCTTAGTCTGTATCTACAAAAAAAACAAGGAGTCTGGTGGCACCTTAAAGACTAACAGATGTATTTGGGCATAAGTGAGGTTTTTACCCACGAAAGCTTATGCCCAAATAAATCTGTTAGTCTTTAAGGTGCCACCAGACTCCTTGTTGTTTTTGCTACAAAGACAGGAAACTGAATTAGGGTTAACGTTCAAAAGATGTCTGGGATCATTGACCAATATGTTGGGATAACAACGGCAACAAGTCTAACCCCCACCTTCCGCATATAGAGATGAATTCACCTCAGGTGTAGAGCCATTGACTTGAGTCAAGGGATGAATCTGGCTCAGAACCTGCCGCCTTCCATCTCCTGATGATAGGTCCATCAATGGCTACTAGCCAGGATGGGCAGGGATGGTGTCCCTAACCTCTGTTTGCCAGAAGCTGGGAATGGGCGACAGGGGATGGATCACTTGATGATTCCGTGTTCTGTTCATTCCCTTTGGGACACCTGCCATTGGCCACTGTCAGAAGACAGGATACTGGGCTCGATGGACCTTTGGTCTGACCCAGTATGGCCGTTCTTATGATGATCGCCAAACGGATTTACAAACTACATACAGCCTCTGGGGATTGCTTCACCCAGCACTGACGTGCAGCCACCTCTGGGGCAGAACGTGGCAGCTAACAGGACACAGTGACGAAAGAGTGGAAGGTGAAGAATGTTACCGTACCAAAGCGGGTGGGGATTAGTTAGGCAGGATGTAATTACTTGAGCTTGCATTTGGTCAAAGCACTAGGGTTAATACTCCTCTTCTTGCAGGAGTGTGTATGGGAATCTTTAATGACTGGGAGTGGTTAAGGCTTGTGTTGTATATCTCAGCTGAGTCCCTCACTGTTATGGCAGAGGTAGGCAACCCTGCGTGGCCAGGAAGCTGCTAAAATTAGTGACAGCAGAAGCATTTCTTGGCCTAGTTCTTCCCGCTGCGTGTGCTCCTGTTCGTATCGAGCCTCACACTGGGCGGCTGGAAGGAGGAGTCCAAGGAGGCCAGAAGTGCAGAGCCGGCAACAGCTTTTCAGGGGGAAGGTCAGAGCAGCCAGGCTGCTGATGTGATGAAAGGGGCAGGGCCAGGCAGGTGGCATTCACATAGGTAGTCAGCTGGCGTCAATTGGCAAGAGCGCCACTGAAGTCAACAGGGTGCTACTGACACCAGTGGGGATCTGGCCCCGTTGTACCGTCAGCCACGCAAGGAAAAGAAAAAAAATGGAAGATGTCCTTTATTTAGCTGCAAACCGAGTTCTGCTGATTTTCCAAGGTCCCAGTGATAAACTGGCAACAAAAGATGTCTGCACTGTAACCCTGAAGAGCAGAGTGTATAGCCGGGCTGTACCCAGACAAGCTAGTATGGCCTGATGCCAACTGTGCAAACAACTCAACCACTAAAAACCTTGTGTACGGCTCTTTCTTTCTTTCTTTCTTTCTTTCTTTCTTTCTTTCTTTCAATACATTGTTGCACTCAAAGAACATTGTTTCACTAAAAAGCCTTGCTGGCTTACACTGCAAACATTCACGTTCTGATTTCAGTTTTGGGGTGGAGGGGGGGGTGTCTCTAAGTTTTAACAGGAAAAACAGCAGCATTTGAAATAAATTAATTCCTTAACCTCCCGTCACCGGGCCAGATTTTCAGGTGCTGGGCTAGATCTTCTGGGGCAACACCACCTGACGCCAGCTCAGCGTCAGGCCCATTGTATTTAGTTCAAAGTACAGGCTGGTATCACAGCACTGCTTTGTAAACCCCCTGAAATGAACAGCGGGCTGTGTGCCCAGGAGCCAGTGTGTCTGGTGGCCCTGGGGTCGGAGCCAGTCCAACAGCTGTGTCACAGCACCCTCTAGTGGGACTAGTTCAAATGACACTGATGTGTTTTCTTGGTGCTTATCGCATGCCCTGGGGTGCTGGGACAGTGTGTATAGTGGGGGTGCCCAGAGCCATTGAACAAACTACCTACAGGCAGCTCCTACGCCAGAGAGTGTGAGAATCTAATACGGGAGACGCACTGGGGAACCCAGCACCCCAGGATGTCCGTGCCAAGCTACTGCTTGTGCTGGGTGAAGGGGTGATGCCACGGGGGAAGGGGCGTCTGTGTTCTCACTCGATCTCCCTCCCCGTCCCCGGTTGCAGGAGGTCATCCACTCCATCTTGCTGAGCGGCAGGATCGGGCCCGACATCCAGCTGGCCGAGTGCTACGGCCTGCGCCTCAAGCACGTGAAGTCCGACGAGATCCACTGGCTGCACCCGGACCTGACGGTAGGCGAGGTGCAGGACAAGTACGAGTGCCTGCACCTGGAGGCCGAGTGGAGGTACGGAGATCGGAGCAGATATCGCCCTCCGGCACACCCTGCCCCCGCCTAATGGGAGGTGGCCATGGCGGGAGGGCAGTCGGGGGCTGTAGGGTCTGCACGGACCCGTCACACCTGGATCCGGGGGGCTCCGCTGAATCTCCCCAGTGCACATTGCGGAGTGGGACAGCAGGGGCGAGCGGTGTCGGCAGATAGCGGTAGGGACTGGGCGCTTTGCAGAAAGAAAGACCCTTCCTCGGAAGAGCGGACACTCCAAAGAGATGACTTGTTGTTTGCTTGAAGGTACGACCTCCAAATCCGCTACCTCCCTGAGGACTACATGGAGCGCTTCATAGAGGACAGGACCACCTTACTGTACTTCTACCAGCAGGTCAGAGTATTTGCAACACGCCGACTCTGCTGACTACTGTGGCATTGTGCCCTCTTGCACCAGTGTTGAATTTGGCCTCCCGTCCGCACCCACCTGTGATCCCCCCTGGATTCACACCTCTCCCGGGGATCTCTCTCCCCTCTCGCTCTCACCACACTGGGGCCTGATTGAAAAATGTTCTGAGCACCTACGAAATTCCAGAGACGTCGCTGGGAACTGGGGGCGCCCAGCGCTTGCCAAGACCTGGCCAGCAGTCTCCGTGTGGGTGGGGTTGACCCAGAGGCGTAGCGAGTGCCCTCCGTACCCTCCGACCGGAGGGGGCCCCGCAAGAAAGGGGGCCCCTAAAAGTGGCAAAATAAATACCGCATTCCAGTTTCTGCATTGTAAGGGGCCCCGCCCGGACATATGTTCGGAGGGGGCCACCGTTCGGAGGGGGCCACGTTCTTTGTTGCTACGGCCCTGGGTTGACCAGCAGCAGCGGTGGTTAGAACGGGGACGCGTCTGAAGAAGTGAGCTTCTGGGGCTGGCCCTCTCTCATCTCAGTGCAGAGTAAGATCAAGGGGGTGGATGCTGAAGCTAGAGAAATTCAGACTAGAACTAAAGCACATGTTTGATCAGGGAGGGTAATTAAATTGGAAGCACTTACTAGGGATGGGGTGGTGTCTCCATCCCAGGTGGTTTTTAAGTCGAGACCAGATGTCTCTTTCTTAAAGCTCCACCATAACTCACCCAAAAGCTATGGGCGACAGGCAGGAATTGCTGGGCAAGGCTCTATGCCCTGTATTCTGTGGGAGGCCAGACCAGTGCTTCTCAAACGTCACTGTGCCGGGACCCCGTTCGGACAACAGAATTACGACATGACCCCGGGGGCGGGGGGAGAGCCCACGCCCCGATGCCCTAGATGGGGGAGAGGGTCTAGAGCCCGAGCTGGGTGGGAGGAGGGGAGGGCTGGAGCCCAAGGCCCCCGGGAGTGTGGCACTTGGGCTTCAGCTTGAGCGCCAGGTCCCAGCAAGTCTAAGGCTGGCCCTGGCAACCCCATTAAAATGGGGCGCTGACCCAGGGTTTGAGAACCGCTGGACTAACTGATCGTAATGCCCCCTCCAGGCCTTAGCAGCTGGGACTCCCCAGGGGCAATCCTTTTGCCTGGAGACCTAACAGCTCCAGTTCCTGAAATAAGTCTCTTTGCCCTGCACGTGCCCCAGCGGCATCCGCTCTCGGGCCTGCAGCCCCGTGGCCGCAGGAAAGGGGAGAGGCAAGGAGGGATTGTGTGTGGGGGGGAGGGAATGCCGGACACCGAACTGGCCTCCTGATCTCTCTCTCTGGCCTTGCAGCTCCGGACCGACTACATGCAGCACTACGCCAGCAAGGTGAGCGAGGGCATGGCCCTGCAGCTGGGCTGCCTGGAGCTCAGGTACGTACCTTGCACAACAGGCGTTGAGCGCTAGGGGATCGTCCCCGGGGGGCCAGGGGAAAGGACCCTTCTTAAACATGCATCCCAGCCACAAACGTCTCCAGCGTAGCTGGATCCAGAGAGGTTTGGGAGAAAGCGCCGGCTAGTGGCTAAAACAGCAGAGGGCAAGGAGCCGGGGAATCCTGTCCCGGCTCACTGTTTCCAGCCATTTCCCCTCTCTGTGCCTCAGTTTCCCCCTCTGCAAAATGGGATCATGCTTTGTAAAGGGCTTGGAGCTCCTTGGACAATAGGGCTCATCTAGTGCAGAGCATTTTCCTACTGTGGGTCCCTTTGCCCCAAGACAGAAGCTCACTTGGAGCAAAACAGGGGCGGCCTGGAGCAAGCCCCCAGCAAAGGGACCGGGGAGAAGTTCCAGTTTTTGTTAGGGATGGGAGGGCAGCTCCTTTAGACCGAGTCCCATCCGCCTGGGACGTGGTGGTGGGTCGGGAAGCTCAAGTCAGATTCCAGTGCCATTGCACTGCACGAAGGGGGGTGTCAGGAGGAGGGAGAAGAGAGAAAGATGAGGATGAAGAAACCGGCGCAGCTGAGCTATGGGCTATAGTGCCCCACGGCTCCCAGGGGCGCCGGGGAATGGCGCTCTCTGGCCCTACAGCTAGAAGAACACGGTGGGAGGTGGGCGTGTTCCAGCTCAATCACTCCGGCGGGCCAGATGGACTCGAGCAGCAAGATGTGAGCTGGGCCCTAAAAATAACCAGAGGCTCCTCTGCGCCCACGGTCGTCGGTAGTTGGCAGAGAGCAGTGCCAAGGCGGGTGGCAGTGGCACATAGGTATGCCGCCTGGCAGGCTTGAACACGGTCGCCATCAGCCCCGGTGAGACGCAGGCACATGGGCGGTGCCTGCTTAACGTGCCGGCGTGAGTCAGGAAGGGCAGCAGCCGTTCCTTGCTAGGGTGAGGAAACACTCAGTGGGGACTTTGCTGATTTATGCCTGCTGAGGATTTGGCCCAGGGTTTTTCTGCTCAAGTCAGCAACAGAGCAGGCCGCGCTGCTGTGATAGACTGTCAGGGTTAGAAGGGACCTCAGGAGGTATTTAGTCCAACCCCCTGCTCAAAGCAGGGCTAATCCCCAGACAGATTTTTACCCCAGTTCCCTAAATGGCCCCCTCAAGGATCGAACTCACAACCCTGGGTTTAGCAGGCTAATGCTCAAACCACTGAGCTATCCCGGATTCTGTACCCCTTGTGCATCGTCAGCCAGGCTGCAAGGCAAAGCCCAGGCCTCTTGAAATCCATCAGAGTTTTGCAGTGAGTTTGTTGCTCATAAGAGGCAGGAGGACCCCAGCTGGCCTGGACCTGCCAAGGCGGGTGGTTAGCAAAAGTCTGGAGCTGAGCATGTTTGATCTGAAACTCACGGATGGGGGAAGAATCCCAGAGCCACCTGCTTTTCTGACTGTCACTCTTCATAGTCCAGCTGGGCTCAAGATGCAAAGTCTCAATCCAGAGCCAGACACCCCAAAAGCTTGCGATTGTTTGGGTCCTGCCTGTTACGCAGAGAGGGGACCACATTGTGCTCAGTTTCAGTGGGAACATCATATGTCTGATTCAAACAGAATTTAGCCCAGGGGCTATTTGCAAATTTAGACCCAGACCTAGGTTGGGAGTATAAAGCGCTCCAAAGTTGTGTAACACCATGGCTACCACAGGTAAGCAGCAGATACAGAACCCTGGACTTTCTGCTCTAAGCTACAGGCCTCTGCCACATGAGCTGAAGGAGTAACTCCATTAGCTAGTAGCAGTGGTAGGCTGGTATCCTCTCTGAGAATGAGCCACTAAAGGGGGCGGTGGCACACTTAGCTAACTTATTACCTTTGCATCTGCGGTTCTTACCTGGGCCCATCTGTTTAATGGTCCCTTTCCTGACTCTGGTCTCAGTGTGAGGCTAACGGGGTGTCTGCCACCCTCCTATCATTTTCTACCTCTCATTTTGCATACTGAATGTTCGAATGAGCCACCAGATGAGCTGATGGCTGTTCTGCTCCCCTGGCATTTGGAGCCTGCTTGCATGCCCCCCCCCTGCTCCCGCCCGGTGTAGGATGCGCACGTGTGAGGTCGGTATGTTGACGCCTGACGTCTCCCTCTTCTTGCAGGAGGTTCTACAAGGACATGCCGCACAATGCCCTGGATAAGAAATCCAACTTTGAGTTCCTGGAGTAAGTGGCCAGGTTCTATTTCTTCTTGGCTTCCCCCCCGCCCCCCCACTCCTTGGAGTTCCCCAGTCCTCACAGATAATAAGGTATCCAATCCCATGTGATCTCTTCATCAAGGCAAGAAAACCTCCTCCTATACATTATGGCCCAGGGGATTAGGCAGATCCCTAGATCCCAGCACAGAGGGAGACTCACCAGTTAAGTACCTAACCACCAGCATGGCTGATTGTGTCCACACACAGCCTCATCCCCCAGATCCCATCCCTGCAGAATCCCCTGGGCTCAGTGTAAAGCCTGGAATGGACTTTCTAGAGTTGGGGCTCTTTGATGGTTATTCCAAAATCCTGGCCAGGATTCTGGAGTGGGCTGCCCTGGAGACGTTGCAGAAACGCGTGTGTGTGTGTGTGCATGTGCGTGCGCACCCCTCGAAGCATCATGGCCCGACTGCAGGTGAATAAAACCCAGAGTGGTGGAAGCTGGGATCATCATAAGCGCAGGAAGCCTGAAATGCCATGAGACGAACCTCCTCATATCATCCCCTACCACGTCAGGTGCATGAGGCAACATTACTGATCACAACAATAGAAAGGGATCAAAGTGGGGCGGTACCAGAGTCCCTGTCCCGAGGGCAGGGCTCACTGAGAGGTGGTCCGTCTCTGTGGCCCTTGGCATCTCTGCTGAGGCTGGCTGCTGTGATGCGGACGGTCCTCAACCAGGAACTGGACTGGGAGCACCGCTTTGGGGCCACCCGTCGCCCATCAGGTGGCGCTGAGCTCCAGTCGTCCCCGATCAGAGACCCATCCAAGCCATCGACCCGGGGGACTCAGGCTGCGTGTCACACATCCCCTGGCACCTCTCCATGCGCCAGGCAGGATATTTTAAAGATGGCCTAAGCGCCACTGAAATGCGGATGAAAGGAGTAGGTTTTGCAGAGTCCCTGTGGGATCGTTAACCTGTGTGCGCGTCTCTTGCTCTCTCTCCCTTTCAGAAAGGAAGTAGGGCTGGACCTGTTCTTCCCCAAGCAGATGCAGGAGAATTTGAAGGTGAGGTGCTGCAGAGCCCGGCCTGGGGGTGTTATGGACAAAGGACACTTGTGGCCAGTGCAGGAGGCTAGGACTGAGAACAGCTCCGTGCAGCTGGGTTAAGCCGTTAGGGTGAATCCAGCCCTGGTGCAGAGGGATGAGACTTAGGTGTCACTCTAGGCCTAGGGTCTAAGCCAACCCTAGGAGCGTAAGTGGACTTGAGCGTCACCTAGGACGTGGGCTGGGAAATTCACCCTTCGTCAAGGAGGGACAATGCTGGGAAACTGTCCCGGGCAAGGGGCAGGCCGGGAGCGGAACAGCAGGGACTCACCTAAATCTAGGAGCTCCTCGGCAGAGCTCTCCGGCGCCCCTCACTGGATTGTCAGGTGCTCTTGGTCAAGGAGCGGAGCTGGGGGAGCCGCTCACAGGAATTATCAGGGGTTACTGGAAGCCGGGATTGAGGGCGGTTGGCAGAGCTGTGTATGGGGAGCCCAGGGTTAGAATAGCAGGGTGTGGGGGGGTTGTAGGTCAGGGTTGAGGGGCGCTGGCAGAGCTGTGTGTGTGGGGAGCCCAGCACTGGAATAGCTGGGGGAGGGGGGGGTCAGGACTCAAGTGCATTGGCGGAGACACTGTGCATGTGGAGGGGGAAGCGTTTGGCTACACAGATGCCTCCCGGACCGGGCTGCTTCCGGCTGTTGGGTCTTTACACCCAGTCAGCGGGGCCTGTCGCTGACTCTCCGGCTCCGGCGCCGTTCCCTCCTCAGCCCAAGCAGTTCCGGAAGATGATCCAGCAGACGTTCCAGCAGTACGCCCTGCTGCGGGAGGAGGAGTGCATCGTGAAGTTCCTCAACACCCTCGCCTCTTTCGCCAACATTGACCAGGAGAGCTACCGCTGCGAGCTCATAGTGAGTCCCTGCGTGGGGAAGACGGGGCGCGGCGGCCGGGGCTGGGATCGATACGGTTCCGTCACACGCCTCCAGCCGGCACCTGTCTAGAGCCTGAGAATCCAACCTCTGCTGGCGAATAGCGCATCACTCCATGGCTAGCGTCGGGAGGAGGGCTGGGGATCAGTGCTCGGATATAGGGGGAAATACGGTATTCCCAAATCTCCTGCTGGCCTGGGGTTTAGGGCCAGTATATGGCAGGATATACGGTATGCCCAGCCCCAGGGCTCTGAGTGCGAAATTCGCCCCGTGCGGAGGGGCTGGTGCAAAGGTCTAAGCACCGGACTCTCTGCCCAGGCTCCATTTCACCTTACCAAAGGCCTGATTCTGCTCCCTCTGACACCATTTCACTGCAGTTACTTCTAATTTACACCAGCGGGAGAGCAGAATCAGGCCCCCAGTCGGGGCAGGCCCAGCAGGCGAGGCCTGAGTGGGGGTGGGGAGTTGGACTTCAGCGCTAGCGTGGCATCCTTAGACCCACTCGCTGCCCTGTGGCCCAGGCATTATGTGGCAGCTTCTTTCCAGTTGTCCTGCTGTGAGCGACCGGGAGCCGGCCGAGGAGCAGAGCTGCGAATGCCTAGTCGGATCCCTGGGCGGGCCGTGACTGAGCCCTGGGAGGTACCTGCCGGGAATTGCCAAAGGAGGGGAAAAATTCCCCGAGGGAAACCCCGGCACATACAACAGGACCCTGCAGGGGATTCCCGATCTCTTGGAAATACCCTGCAGCTGCCCCCTAATGGGACCCCTCAGTGGTGAAAGGAATATTTAGACACACTGCCGGCTTCTCTCTTCACCGTACCGCTCGGGGCGGGGGGAGAACTGGGCAGCTCAGTAACCTTCTGCTCCAGGTGCAGCAATGAAAGCGTCAGGGTGCGTACAGAAGAGGGCAGAGCCTAGCGCTGGCCCTGGGCCTGGGCAGTTAGCCGGAGTCGCCCAGCCTTGCAGGATTGTTTCTGTCAGGATGAGAAATCAGGGCCACGAGAGCAGGCCGTTCTTGGGCGCCGTCCCCGGTTATTCACCAAGAACCGACACAGAGGCCTGTTCCCTGAACGCGGGCGGAAACAAACAGCAGGCAGCTTCCTGGCTCGGAAATCCCCGTGCTCGTGCCCCTCTGCTTCCCAGGGTCACGCTTGCAGCACCTCCCGCTGACTTTTTTCTGCCTCCGACGCGCACAGGCTGCGAACCCAACATCCTAACCCCGCCCTGCGTTCACAACCCGGGAAAGCTCTCGTTCCACCTGCCACGTGGCCAAGCGCCCCGGGCAGTAGGGGCAAGTTGTTGGTAGCACATACAGGGGCTGGATCGCTCTTCCTGACGGAGCGTGGTGGGCACACGTTGGCTTTAAGGAGGTCTGTGATCGTCTTTAGGTCCAAGACTGCCCCCTGCTGGCAGCCATGAGCGCCTTCCAGCATAACAGCAACACTGAAGATATTATAGGGGCCATTGTATAAATCAGTGGCGTAGCCTCCTAGGAATACTGGGCCGGATCCTCAGCATAGCTCCGCCAACGACACCAATTGACACCAGCTGGGGATTGGCTCTCTGTGCTCGGTCCTGGGGGTATGCAATGAGCGTGGAAGGCAGCCAATTTCAAACTGATACAACGAAATACTTTTTTACACAGTCAGCCTGTGGAACTCCCCGCCACTAGCTCTCCAGGAGGGCAAAGTATCAGCAGGATTCCAAAAAGGACTAGGCATTGGTAGATTCATAGATTATAAGGCCAGAAGGGACCGTTGTGGTTATCTAGTCTGATCTCCTGCATAACACAGGCACCGATAGGGATAAAAACATCCTGAATTACAAGTCCATTAGATAGGACATAAAATGTAGTAGGGTTATAAACCCTCTCCCGTCAGGGACTAAGCCAGCCACTGACGGGGGTTAGGTAGGACTTTCCCCTCGGGGTAGGTTGTCCCATTACAGGGTGTCTTGCACCTTCTTCTGGAGCAACAGGGGCTGGCCACTCTCATAAACAGGATGCTGTGCTAGGTGGACCTCAGGTCTGATTTGAGACAGGCCATTCCGATGTTCCCATCTCAGAAAGTAACCCCCAGATTCATAGGTGCTGACTTCCCCTCTTTTCCCAGGGTGCTCGACTCCCACTTTGTCCCTGGTCCCGCCCCCCCCTCCCCCCCCTCCCTGAGGCCCCGCCCCCCCCCCCCCCTTCCCCACCCTTCCCCCCCGTCCCCCCCCCCCCCCTGCCCCTATTCCCACTCCTTCCCCAAATCCCCGCCCCGGCCCCACCTCTTCCCACCTCCCCCCCACCTCCCCTCCTCTGCGTGCCACGTTCGCACTCCTCCTCCCCCTCCCGGAGTGTGCTAATGCTTCCAAACAGCTGTTTGGCGGTGGCCGGGCGGGAAGCGCTGGGAGGTAGGTGGAGGAGCGGGGATGCGGCGCGCTCAGGGGAGGAGGAGGAGGTGGGGCAGGGGGTGAGGGGAGCTTGGTTGCCAGTGGGTGCAGAGCACCCACTAATTTTTCCCCATGGGTGCTCCAGCCCCGGAGCACCCATGGAGTCGGCGCCTATGCACAGATTAACTCCCAGTAATCTCTGCGCCCCATACCGCAACCCCAAGTGGCTCCCGCACTGGAGACCCCTGCCCTGGTCATACACAGTAACATGGCTTTGGTTTCAACTGCTCCCAGCTTTCAACTCTCCGGCTCCAACCGATCATAAACGTGGCCCCAGACTCTGTCTCCCAGGCAGCGTCTGTGTCTGAGTTTGTCCCTCCCAGAATTTCTCCAGCAGCTGGAGGTAGCTCAAGCCACTAGCCGCCACCAACACCCTGCCGCCGGTCTCGGTGGCTTTCCCGTCACTTCGGGGTGGGGCTGGCTGGGGCAGATCCGGTGTGGCTCGGCAGCCGCTGATGCTGCGGGGAGCTCGGTGGTTTCAGCTCTCCGGGAGTCGGGCAAGTTCCGCGGTTGCACCACTCAGCTTTGTGCCCTCAAGTTTCAGAGAATTTCCACCCGGCATTTGGACCCAGGCCCATCCCCAAACCTGACCCAGGCTCCCCAGCTCAGCTTGAGTGTCCCGCTGGGTACTAGGGGGCTTCCCCGCAGCTCCACTCACAGCTGCTGCGGCACGTACCCGCTGAACAGCGGGGAGGGAGCGAGCGGTTTGAAGTCTTCATTGCCCCTTCATCTACCAGGGACTTATTATGGGGCCTGGGTTCGAATCCTGTGGTTTTTGGCTGAGTTTCTGCGGTCGGGGCACGTCTCTGAACGGCCGGCAGTCGCAGCCCACGAGAGGCCCAGCAGGGGGATGTTGGCAGGGGACGGCTCACAGCTCCCTATCCAGTGGGATGCCGCAGGCGGGGACTGAGATGGGCCCGGCAGAGCCCTGGGTGTGGAAAGCCAGCAGAGCCGTCGTCTGCGCTGCACCCGGCGCTAGCCAGGGCGGTCGGCTTCTTGGTTACAGTCCCTACATGGAAGGTAAAGGCCACTCAGCCCCCCGGGAATTACGGGGTGAGTCTCAGCCCAGTTCTCGGACAAGCGTCCGCCTCTCACTCCCTCCTTCCCTTGCTGGCGCTCTGATTGGCCTCAGCGGAGAAGCCAAGGACTGAATGGGCTATGGAGACTGAACTGACGGTGCTCTCCGCAGGCCGGGGCTCCGGCACGCTGGGCTGGACTGCGTGGGGACGCTCCCCGTGCTGCTGCTCGGGCCCCCCCTTTGGGGTCCGTTCTCCAGCCCCCTTGACCAGTGCTGGGTGCTCCAGCAAACCCCTGGCCGAGAAGCCCTTGGGAAGGGGGACGGGGCTGTTTCGGAGGCAGAGCAGAGACCGTGCCCATGTCCTTGTCTCTCCCTTCCAGCAAGGGTGGAACATCACGGTGGACCTGGTGATCGGGCCCAAGGGCATCCGGCAGATGACGAGCAAGGAAGCAAAGGTATGGGGCGGGGAGGGCAGGGCTAAATCCCCAAAAGATGAAAGGGCTTAGTCCCCCCGCACCCCCCAAACACGGGGCTGGGACCCAGAGCATGTTCCTCTGATGGCAATTGGGGGAGGTGGAGATGCTTATGGAATGAGGGAGATGCAACGAGTATCCCAAAATAGACCGTGTGTGTATGTATGTGTGTGTGTGTGTGTGTGTGTGTGTGTGTGTGTGAGAGAGAGAGCGAGAGAGAGAGACTTCCTTGCTGAGCTGTCTCCCAGCCCCCGCAGGCGTTGTGATCACACTGGGGTTTCGGTGCATTGCAGCCAACCTGCCTGGCGGAGTTCAAGCAGATCAAATCCATCAAGTGTTGCAGCGTGGAGGAGGGCAGAGCCATGCTGCAGCTGACGCTCACCGGGACCCCCCAGGTAAAGGGGGGAGATGGGCAGCGCTGAGGTGTCTCTTACCGTCCTAGAGCCACATAGAATCCCAGGCCAGAAGGGACCACTCTGATCATCTGCTCTGCCCTCCTGTACCGCACCGGCCACAGAACTTCTCTGAGTTAATGTAGATCTCTTAGAAAAAAACATCCAGGCTGGATTTAAAAATTGCCCGCGCTGGAGAATCCACCATGACCCATGGTACAATGTTCCAGTGGTTAATTACCCTCCCTGTTAAAAAACGACGCCTTGTTTCCAGGCTGAATTGGTCTAGCTTCAACTCCCAGCCGTGGGATGTTGTCTGCTAGACTGAAGAGCCCGTGATGATCAAAAAGTTGTTCCCCCTGGTGCCAAGGTTGGAAAAGAGAAAGGAGGGGAGAAAAAGGGGAGACAGAGAACTATTTGGAGGGGTTTGGGGAGACGACTGTTCTAAAAATAGCTGCAAAAAAAAGTGTGTCCCGTGGTTTTAGTAGTAACAGAAATAAGGTCACAGGGTCACATATACTGATCAAATCTGCAGATCACACAACGGTGGGGGGGTTGCCAACATTTGGGAGGATAGAACTAAAAATCAGAGGGTTCTTGTTAAATTGGAGAACTGGGCTTTGGACAACAAAATGAAATTCAACAAAGACAACTGGCAGGTGGTACACTTAGGGACGAAAAACCAACTGCACAAATACAGACTGGGGGATAACTGGCTTGTCAGCAGCACTGCTGAGAAGGATCTGGGAGTTGTGGTGGATCACAACCTCAGTAGGGGTCAGCAACGCGATGCTGTTGCAAAAAAAGCAAACGCAATTTTAGGTTGTATGAACAGAGGCATAACATGCAAGTCATGGGCGGTGATAGTACCGCTCTACTCGGCGCTGGGTAGGTCTCAGCTGGAGAACCGTGTCCTGTTTTGGTCACCACTGTGTATCCAGAGGCGAGCGACAAAGATGATCAGAGGGATGGGATGAAAGCCATGCGAGCAAAGGCTGAAGGATCTGGGTATGTTTAGTTTGGAAAAGAGGAGATTAAGGGGGAATATGAGAGCGGTCTTCAAATCCTTGAAAGGCTGCCATAGAAAAGATGGAGAAAAGCTGCTCTCTCTTGCCACGGAGGGCAGGACAAGAGGCAATGGGATCAAACTCCAGCATAGCAGAGTTAGATTAAATCTCAGGAAAAACTCCCTCACTGTAAGAACAGCAGGACAGTGGAAGCTTCTTCACTGGAGGTTTTCAAAAGGAGGCTGGAGCCATCTGCCTTGGATGGTTTAGACACAACAAATCCTGTGACTTGGCAGAGGGTTACACTGGATGTCCCGGTGGTCCCTCCTAGCCCTGTGGTTCGATGATTCTATAACAGTCACATGTTACCAAGGGCGGTGGGAGGAGGGGAGAATATCTTTTATTGGACAAAATTCTGTTTGTTTAATATCCTGGGACCGACACGGTTATTAGCATAGGGTGTGAGTGCAGGCCAATAGCTGTAGATGGCGCCAGACCAATACGTTAGGGGCCCGATTTGTCCCCATCTGAAATCAATGGGCTTGCCCGGGTGTACTTTAAAGACATTAATGCATCGGGCCAGATACAGAGGTGCTTCTCTGAGGGCATAACATGGTGTTATCCTGCACCTCCTGCTGCCCCTTCAGTGTGGACATGACCCCAGCTCCAGCCTGTAATGGGGACGGTTAGACGCACACCCTGGCACCGGTGTGTCACGTACACCCCTTTACCCGTCGCTTGTGGTTTGGGTTTGCTGGACCCCAGTGTCCCAGAAGGGAGAGGGGTGGGCTCAGTACGGCAGCGCATCTCAACACTAGCCCCTGGAGCCTCAAGAGGCTCCGTCTCTAGGCAGCGTCCAGCCGTTGCCCGTCCAGCTGGGAAGGTGCAGATCTGGATGCTGGATGCAAACGTTCGCCTGGGTTTCACCCCCCGCCCAACCCCACCTTTCATGTTTCACAGTCCTTGGCTATTAAAACCCCCTCCCTGGCTGAGGCGGAGAACATGGCCGATCTCATAGACGGTTACTGCCGGCTGCAGGGGGACCAGGAAATATCCCTCATCGTCCGTCCCAAGAAAGGTGAGCGACTCTCTGTGAGCACAGGCGCTGGGGAGACTGGAGGGGGAGCAGATGCCGCGGGATTGTGATGCCCATGAACGTCAAGGGCTGAGGTCCTAAACTGGAGCCAGGCTTAGTGCAGGGAGTTTTCTTAACCCCCTGTTCCCAGCACCCATCAGCCCTGATTTACAGCCCCCAAACTCGCCACGCTGGTGATCGAGGCTGGCGTTGAACCTCAGATGGCGTCCCAAGGTGAAAGGCGGGGGCAGTGGCAGTTTCGGGCTGTCTCGGCTTGATATTCATATGCAGGTTGCTGGGTGTGTGGGGAAGGGGTGGTCTCTTCATCCCCTCCGACTGCACTCTGCCTTCCATCCCATATCTTCCTTGGAGGCTCGGCAAAATGGCTGGGGATGGGAGAGCGGAGGCTAAGATGTCCCCAGAGTCTGGCAGCCAAACTGGGGGGAGGAGTGCGGGCGACAGGAGATGCACAATAAAGACCCTTTCCCCCCTTTCCCCACAGAGAATGAGAAGAGGGTGAGCCTGCCACAGATCCCCCCACAGTAAGTAGAACATAACCCCTCAAGGCACCTGTATTGGCACTGGGCAGGGGGGCCACAAATGCGGGATGTCCAGGTTGGAAGGAAGGGCCATCAAACCAAAGCCCTGACCATGTGTGGTCCTCAGAGATCCCACGAACACCTGGCTTCAGAGCAGGGCTTAGATACCCTGGGGATAGGCACGTTGGAAATACTAGAGCTGGGTGGATGGATGGATGGAAGAATGAGGAGATGGATGGATGGATAGGACAGCTGGTGTCTGAGCTTGTCTCTTGCTCGTTTTCACCCATGCTTTCACCTGTAGGCACATAGATGAGAGAAGACCCACGTTAACTGAGAGCTTCAGTGTGGGTGAGTTTCGTTCATCCCTCTCGCCAGCCGGCCACGGCTGGGAACTGGAGAGTAAGCCAGCTGGTACAACTGGGAGAAGGAGAAAACAGGGATGGGCATGTTTGGGGAAGGGGAGGGATAATCTCAGCTCCCTTTTATTAGAGATGGGCCCGAGGCAAAGCCCTAGATCCAGCCTCCCTCTACCTCCTGCCCCCGCCCCCTGACTGGGGGACCCCACGCTTCTTTTTCCTTTCTGTCCCACAGTCACAGAGTCGGGTGGAACCAGCCCGTTAGTGCAGCCCCAATGTGGGTCCTTCCTGCCTCCTTGGCAGCAGCTGGTGCTGGCCACTGGCCGGCAGGACGCTGCCCTAGACAGACCCCTGGGCTGATTCACCGCGGCGGTTCCCATGCCCAGCTTCGGAAACTGCAGCATGCCTAGCAGCCAGGGGGTGGTGCGGATGGGCTGTGCGGGCGGAGGCCCTGGGCTTGCCATGCTGTCCCAGGATCAGGGACAGCTCGCAGGGGTCTCAGACCCGCTGGTTTATTAAAAGAAACACCCCAGGCCGGGCGCAGCGGCTGCTTTTACTGCTGAATTTCTTGCCCTAGATTCGGATATTTATGCTGAAATCCCCGATGAGGCCTCGAGACCCAAGTCCGGAGGTAGGTGCCCCGCCTGGCCCCTCCAGCTTTGCTTTGGCTGGAGACGCTTCTCCTGGAAGACATGAGAACCCACCGGCTGGAGGAAGGGATGCCAGCTCCAGGGGAAAGGGGCTGGCCGGTCGGCCAGGACCGTGGAGACGCTGTGGGTAGAGCTGAGCTGCGAGGGGGAGGAGCTAGGGGTCAATCAGCCCCTCCCACTAGGTGCTCCTTAAGAGCATGGTCTGAAGGGTGTTAGAGAGAGGGGGGCTCCATCCGTCACTGGTGTAAATGGGCAGAGCTCCATTAGAGGAGACGGAGCGGCACTGATTCACACCAGCACTGGCTGTGGCCTATTCTCCGTAACCTCCGGCTCTGGCTTCCCCCAACTGATTGTGGATGGAAAGGTTCATGCGTTTGTCCTCCCTGGGGTTAGCCTTCCCCCACCCCATGCTTTATAGACTCGGTCCCTCAGAGACCGTCGTCATCCTGCGCCGAACAGGCCCCATGGGGGGATGTTGCATTAGCCCCAGAGACTCTGCTTTTCCTGCAGGAGATGAGCGAGGGCTCTGTCTATATCGAGGACAGTCCCCATCCTCTGGGAGCCCCCGGGGCTGGGAACGGGGGTGTGGCTGGCCATAGGATCAGTCACACTCAGTGGACTCTGGTTTTGCACACCTGGCGGAGCGGCTGGCTTTACAGGGGCTGCACCGAATGTACCAGCCCTGTGGAGCCATCGCCCGCTGGGATGAGCTGGTGGCACCAATGAACCCCGTCCCTCCGGTTTCTCTGTCCCTCCAGCCCAGCAGTACGGGGTCTCCCGAGAGGACGTGACTCTGGGCAGGATCCTGGGGGAAGGTTTCTTCGGGGAGGTGTACGAGGGCATTTACACCAACCCGGTGAGTTTGCTTTCTCTTTGCTGCCGCCGCCCCCCAATCCCTCACCACCACCGATCCTCACCATGGGTCTGGCAGGGGTGGGCGCAGGAGGGCAGATTCCAGCCCTGCCACAGACAAGGCTGTGGCAAAGTGCCAGCCCCACAGCGCCCCCTTGTGGCTGTGTGGGCACACCCCTGTGATAGGCCAGGCCCCTCTAATGTCCAGCCCTTTCTGAGACTAGGTCTCGTCAGTCTATTACCTTCTCAGTCCAGTGATATCCCACGCACCAGCCATCACCCACTGGGATCACTGGATCATGTCCTCTTCGCCCAGCCCCCTTATCCCTTCTTAGCTTTTGTCCTCTCTTCTGGGCCCATGGGCCCCCAGGGGCCTGATTCCCCTTAATCCTGACCCTTTCCCGTGAGGCCGGCTGCACAGGGATCTGGATTTCCCCTGCAACCCGGCTTCCCTTTCATCCTGGCTCTTCTCAGCCCAGGGCCTGTTCCATTCCCCCCTTTGGAGGCACTTCCTACCTGCACTCTCTTCCCGACAAACCCCCTCAGCTGCTCCTCGGGCCCCATTGGTTAGTCCCAGGCTGCGCTAATTCCCCCACCCTCCGGACATCGCCCCGTGATCAAGGCCTAGGGTGAAAGCCCCTCCTCCGCTTTCTTCTCCTTCCAGAAAGGGGAGCGGATCAATGTGGCCGTGAAGACCTGCAAGAAGGACTGCGCCCCCGAGAACAAGGAGAAGTTCATGAGCGAAGCCAGTACGTAGCTCCCGGCTTCCCCTTGCCATGGCGATAGCCTGCCCCCTCCACCCCGGGGGCGCCTCTGGCCTGTATCCTGCATTGCTCTGGTGGGGATCCACTGGGCCGGCAGCCCATGGGGTGTTGGGGCAACAGGGGGCCGGAGATAGCTCAGGGCGGCAATTGTCACCTGCTCTAGGAGAGGGCAGGTCTCTGTCCTGCTCTGAGGCCTGTGTAACCCACCCACATTCTGGGTGTGTCCCAGCCAGCGGCACCGAGTCTGCTCTGCAGCCTTAGCTAAGAGCCATGTGGCTTTTAGCTCGTGGGCTCCCGCATTCAGCTCCAGCGGCCCCAGGTTCGAACCTGCCCGCTGACGACTGGGGTCTGTCGGTGTTACACCTGGGCCTCCTAAGACGGTCATGAGTCTGCCGCAGCTGCTGCTTTCGCTCCGGTCGGGGAGGCTCACGTTCCCATTGCTGCCGGTCCCCGGTTCAGCCCGCCTCCATCGGCCGGGCCGGCCTCAGTGTCTCTCTCGCTCGCAGTGCTGATGAAGAAGCTGGACCACCCCCACATCGTGAAGCTCATTGGCATCACAGAGGAGGAGCCGACCTGGATCATCATGGAGCTGTACCCCTACGGGGAGGTGAGGGGGGAAAACGAACCCATGGGGCCTGGGAGTGGGGGGATGGCCTTCACGGCAGGCCTCCTTGTTCCTCATCAGAAAGCGAAGCCGCTGGAAACGTGTCCTCAGCAGCAATGATCTTTCTTGGGTGGGGAGAGGGTGGGAGAGAATCTGACTTGACATGGAGATCTTGCTGCTGTAAGGAATGCCCCTCGCCCATTGGCCCCTGCCAGAGGGAGTGTAGACTAGTGGTTAGAACAGGGGACTGGATTCCGGGGAGCCCAGGTTCCACCCTCAGTGCTGCCAATGACCTTGGGGGCAAGTCACTTCACCGCTCTGTGCCTCGGTTTCCCCACCCGTAAAATAGAAATAATGATTCCTGCCTGCTCCGGAATGGGTGGGCCTGACAATTATGGCCCCACCCGTCTCAAGAGATTTGGATGGCGCTGAAAGGCATTGGGACTCCCAGGCGTTCATCCCAATAGACCCCCCCCCACCGGCTCCAGCTTCTCTGATATCTGCCCGTTGTGGCCGCCTTTGACTCCCGTCTCTTTCCTCGCGCAGCTGCTCCTCCCCCACACCCGGGTTTCTTTGGCTTGCACTGCCTGGGTCCCCCCCGGCGGCTGGGTTTGCCCCTAACCGCAGCTCTCTCGCCCCCGTGCAGCTAGGCCACTACCTGGAGCAGAACAAGAACTCGCTCAGGGTGCTGACCCTCATCCTGTACGGGCTGCAGATCGGCAAAGCCCTGGCGTACCTGGAGGCCATCAGCTGTGTGCACAGGTAGAGCGGGGGAAGGGCGATCAAAGGGCGTTGCCGCGGCGACGGGCATTAGCCGACACATTGGCAGAGAGCTGCAGAACCGGTGACACGCGCAAACGTGGCCCTTTTGGTTCAGCGACCGGACCAAAAAAATCAGTGATTCGCTCAGCTCTACGCACGGTTAGGGCCTGGGAGCGACTGCAGCGACGACGGCAAATTACAGGGCGCTGGCTTGTTCTTGGGGTACCCAGGACCGAGTCACCTGCTACCCCCTGCCTCTAGCAAGAGGGTGTCTTTCGTGTGGTGGCGGGGTGTCAGCTCCCTGCCACCACCAGCCGTTCAGCCAAATGGCCCTCCTCTGCGCTACGCCAGCCCTGTTGTCACCTTGCAGGTTAACAAGACTCCTGTGAATCGTACCCCTGGGATACCCAGCCCCTCACATTGGCTCCGCACAGAAATTCCAATTCCTCTGCACCCAGAGGTGCGGTGTACCCCAGTTTTCCTTTAAACCACCGCTCCTGTAAACCACACCGCGCTTAGAACAACCCAAAAGTAGGTTTGTGTGAGTGAGAACAAAGATTTAACAGGAAGCGAGAGACAGATGGGAACAGCCGGTTACAACACGAAATAAAATCGGAAACCGTGGAACCTGCGTCTTCACAATAGCTACCTGTCCTGGGTAATAAATTCGGCTCCCCCCACAAAGTGCAGTGCGTGGCGGAGCTGGCTGGCTTCACCGAAACCAGGATCCAAATGTCCACGCACGTTCCCTGCTCCCAAAGGGGATTTCTCTGTGAATGCAGGCAGAGTCCCTTGCTGCACTCTGTTCTACTGAAAAATGGCCGTTTGTTTCTGTTCCCAGGCAGGGTGACCCCCGGCCTTCTGGCACTTTCTTTCCTGCCTGTAAGCGATCTCCATTGTTTGTCCCGGTCTATGATGGTTTTCCATTGACAGTGGCAAGAGTAGACAATGGAACCTTGAGTGACCTCGCTGGCCAACTGGGGAGATGGCAACTTCCTCTTGCTTGAATGGGGGGTCACGGAGACACAGTATGCCCTGGGGACTAATTTCTACACCAAATCAGACTTTCAATATAAATACATTATTCCTTAACTATTACCCGTCCATTCACCCTGTAATGGTTATGAGTCTTGACAGGCTCTGAGCTTTCTGTATGTGTCTTACATGGTACTCTATAGGGATAAATATCCCGTAAGACGTGTGTTGGGTGTAGTGAGTCGGTCAGGTTAGGAAAGAGCTGAACAGGGGCCACTTTGCTGCGGGGTCTCTGTGTCACGCGGCTAGTCTGTTTTAGATGGCTGGGGCCCTGCTTGATGAAGCCAGGGGAGCAGGCTCCCCCATCCCGTACCGGAGCACCGCTACAGAGGCTGTTAAATGAGGAGAGAGGGTTGAGAACGCACCGTTCCTACCTTGCCCACAGTTCAATGGTGGGATTGTGATGAGAGATGTTAAATTATCTTTAGGGTGTATCTACATTACAGAACCCATGCCGGCTTAGGCCCCGAGCGTAGAAGCAGCGTACACAGAGAGAAGGAGGTTTTCTGCCCCTGTAGGAACACTGCCTCCCTGAATGCTGTTAGCTACGTAGCTGTGTCTACACTAGGGGTCTTGCCGGCATAGCAATGTCGCGCGGGGTGTAGCCCAATGCAGCTAGGCCAGTATACATGTTAAATGTAGACCTGGAGAGTCAAAGCCCAGTGGGCTTTTAAGCCGCACTCCTGAGGATAAGAGCGATGCTCGTCCAATCAGGGAGCAGAAACAATGCCACATGACTGCCGCCAATGCTAGCAGCTCAGAATTCTTCATTTGTTCCGCCCTGTGGTAGGACGACGACTCACTGGTGTGGCGCCTCCTGCTGGTCGTCCTGGGAATTAGCTCTTCCAGCCCAGAGCGCCCTCTGCAGGCCGGTGTCTCACCTGCCGCTGGCCCCCGTGTCCCTCCCGGACCCCGGTGCCCCTTAATGTCTGGGTTCTGCCCCCAGCAGTAACCCACATTCTGGGTCTCCCCACCCAGGGGAACCCCCAACCCTCTATCCCCACCTCGCCTCAGTGGCTACTGCCAGTCACCATCTAGCCCCTGCTCCCTGGGGCAGACGCAGTCTGTAAACCACTCATCATCGGCAAAGGGGTCAGGACCAGCTACCTCTGCCTATCTCTGGGATGCCCCTCTGCAGCCCCAGTACCCTTTTTGGCCTTTTAGCAAGGCCTGCAGCCTGGGGTTTTACTAGGCTGAAGCTCCTCAGGTCCCTCTTGCCCTTCCCCAGCACTGCTCCACCTCAAGTACACTTCTCAGCCCCTAGGCAGCCAGGTTCTTCTCTCTCAAGAAGATAGAGAAAGTGTCTTACAGCTCCTGGTCCTCAGCCCTCTTATAGGGCCAGCTGTGGTTGCTTCCCCCAATCAGCGCAGCTTTTCCCAGTCACAGCCCTCTCCCAGGGCTGTTTTAAGCCCTTCAGGGCAGGACTGGGGTGACCACCCCGCTACATGCCCCTTCTGCACAATTAGGTGCGAGGCGATGGAGAAGTGGGTCCCCAGAGCTCACCCATTGCCTGGTCACCCTAGGCGGGGCTCTCGCCAGAGCCGACACCCAACACGCCCCCGCGGGACTGACCTGCTCTCCCTGATCTCCGCAGGGACATTGCTGTGAGGAACATCCTGGTGGCTTCTTCCGAGTGTGTGAAGCTGGGGGATTTCGGTCTCTCCCGGTACATAGAAGACGACGAGTATTACAAAGGTAAGGGGCAACTCGCGTCTGCAACGGCCTGGCCCCAAGCTGGGGGACCTTTCTCCATATCCGAAAGCTACTGTGCACCATTAGCAGTGTCAGGTCAAGAGGTTGGAACAGCAGCGGGGGCTACAGGTCAGGACTGAGGGGCACTGATAGAGCTGGGTGTGTATGGGGGGAGCCCAGGACTGGGAGGGAGAACGGGGGCTCTGGACTGGGATTGTGGGACACTGGCAGAGCTGGGGAGGTGGGAAGCCCAAAGCTGGAAGAGCAGGGGGGCCGCAGGTCCGTGACCATCTTCTCTGCTCCCCAAGCTTCCGTGACTCGCCTCCCGATCAAGTGGATGTCGCCAGAGTCTATCAACTTCCGTCGCTTCACGTCCGCCAGTGACGTGTGGATGTTTGGTGAGCGGGACGGCGAATTGCGAGCAGGGTGCGGCGTGGGGCAAGGCAGGGTCCGGGGCGGTATATGGATCTCAGGCCGGTGTCTTTCCTAATACCCAGGGCCAAATCCTGCTCTCAGTTCCCCTGGGGTAAATCCAGAGCCAGTTCAGTGCCGTTCTCCTGGAGTTACGCCAGCAGAGCGTGTAGCGGGAGCTGGGCAGGGCCTGGGCAGGAAGCAGAGATGTCCTTTTGGGGGAGTTATATCGGAGATCCGTGCAGATTCGGCACAAGAGAAGAGATCCTGTCTGTGGGGCTCCTCCGAGCACGGGGAGACAGCAGGGAAGTAGATTGAATGAGGAGAGCTAATGGCACCCCCAGCAAACCCCTCCCCCACTGGCATCTCAGCATGCAGCCCGGCTGCCAGCTGATCAGAGTGTTGGGGGCGCTCAGGACAGTTCTTAGTGGCCAGGAATCCCCATGACAGAGACTCATTGGGCTGCAGAGCCTGAGCTGGACTCTCACCCCTCGGCAGACGTGCTCTGTCTAAGGTACTTGTCTGGCCCCATTTCTGTAGTATCTCGCATCTCCCAATCTTTAATGTGTTTTTCCTCCCACCTCCCTGTGAGGCAGGGCAAGGCTAGTGCCCATGGTTCAGATGGCAAACTGAGCCACAGCAAGGCTAAGTGACTTGCCCAAGGTCACACATGGCGTCTGTGGCAGAGCAGGGATTTGAACTCAGCTCCCCCAAATCGGGGTCTAATCACCGGCCCGTCAGCACAGCGTGCGGGGAGCCTGCGGCGCTGCTGCCCGTGCCTGGCCCGACCCACCTGGCGAGCGCTTCCCATCTCCTTGCCACGCCTGCCACCCCTGAGACGCGGTGCTTTGTGTCCCCCGCCCGCCCAGCCGTGTGCATGTGGGAGATCCTGAGCTACGGCAAGCAGCCCTTCTTCTGGCTGGAGAACAAAGATGTGATCGGGGTGCTGGAGAAGGGCGACCGCCTCCCCAAGCCTGACCTCTGCCCTCCTGTCCTCTACACCCTCATGACGCGCTGCTGGGATTACGACCCCAACGACAGGCCCAAGTTCAAGGAGCTGGTCTGCAGCCTGAGGTAGGCGACCGGGAGGCGGGGAATCACGCGGTGCTAACGGCCTGGGGCAGATGGATCCGTCAGGAGGAGCTAGCGATGCTGGTAACTCGGAGAGCCGCGGAGGTTCGTTGCCAGCGGCTGCAGTATTGCCAGCACCGTAGGGCCTGTTACCGGCTAGCCAGAGCCCTGCGGTGACGGCTGCCTGCCAGCATGGGTGGGGGCAACTCTCCAGAGCTCTGGTTCTACCCGCAGAGTTCAGTCACCCTGAACCCACCACAGGCACTGACACCATGGGTGCTCCGGGGCTGGAGCACCCACGGAAAAAACTCAGCACCCACCAGCGGGCCCCACCAATTAGCTCCTCCCCTCCTCCCCCCAGCACCTCCCACCCGCCGCTGATCAGCTGTTCAGTGGCGGGCAGGAGGCGCTGGGAGGGAGAGGGAGGAGCGGGGGCAGGAAGAGGCGGCGCGAGGGTGGGACATGCTCACAACCATTTTCCTCAGCTTTTCCCATCTCTCCGCCATGGTCATTGGTTTCCGCTGAGGCTGTAGCTGGCAGGAACCTTGTCAGGGCTGCTGGCGTAAGCAAGTCCCCGCAGTGCTGACTGCCTGGCGTTTCCCCTGTAGCGGAGGAAGCTGTACTGCTGAACTCTTTCCTTTCCCTTTGCTCCTGCCTGTAGTGACATTTATCTGATGGAGAAGGACATCGCCAGGGAGCAAGAGAGGAACAATCGTCACCGGCCTCCCAAAATCATGGAGCCAACATCTTTCCAGGACCCCCCTCCAAAGGTAAGAAGGGAGCCGAGCAGCGTGTCTGTAACAAGCTGTGAGCTCCCGCCTGGGCTGTGGTGGGGCTGTCATCCCACCACAACCATGGAGCATACATCCCTCACAGGAGGAGAACGTGGTCTCCTGTAGTGGCTGGCCTGTGTAAGAGGATAATAGTCCACTACACCTGTTCTCTAGCGGAATCTCTCCTTTAGCTCAAGAGGCAGAAGCTTGTGCTTTTAGACCGGAAGTCCATGGGTTCTGTTCCCCTTAATGCACATACATGGGGATCGGTTTTTCATAGATTCCAAGGCCAGAAGGGACCATTGGGATCATCTATATATGCCGTAGAATTTCCCCAAAATATTTCCTACAGCTGATCTTTCAGAAAACCATCCAATCTTGATTTAAAACTTGTCACTGATGGCGAAACCACCATGACCCTTGTGGTCCATCCCTGCCGTCCACCGTCTTTTGAGTTTCCTGCCTTCCCTAGCCAGCAAGCTGTTTGGGGCAGAGCATGTGCTTTCTTATTGGTGTGCGAAGTGACAAGTGCGCTTGTGGCTTCAGCTAAACAATACAGCCCGTTTGCTCGGAGAGAATCCGGGCTGAGGTTAGTAACAGAGAGGAGAAATTCTTTTTTAAAATAAATGCACGATTTTTAAGCGGACACTGTCCCTTTAAATATGAAGTCTAGCATGTTATGGGTAAGGCTGCAAGGCTGTCATGGAGGTCACGGAAGTCACGTGACCTCTGTGACTCTGCAGCGGCCGGTGTGACTGACCCCAGGGCTACCCAAGCAGCTCGGGCGGCTCTTGGGCCGGCCGCTGCTGGGGCAGTCTTGGGCCACCGTGCGCCCTTCTCCCCAGCATCAACGGCAGTCCCGGGTTGAGTGTCGCCACCCCGGCCCCAGCATCAGCAGTGGTCCCGGGCTGCGTGCCGCCGTCCCCCCCAGCACTAGTGGCAATCCCCTGCTGCCCTCTGCCCCCTGCCCCAGAGCATCAGCGGCAGTCCCAGGCCCCAGAGCCCCCCCCTGGAGTCTCCCCCTCCAGAGCACCCAAGATTTAGTCAGGGCTATATAGTACAAGTCATGGACAGGTTACGGGCCGTGAATTTTTGTTTACTGCCTGTAACCTGTCCATGACTTTTACTAAAAATACCAGTGACTAAAACGTAGCCTTACTAATGACATATAGACTCATAGCCCCGTAGGGTTACAAGGGACTGCAAGGTCATCTCGTCTAACCCCCTGCCAAGGTGCTGGATTTGTTGTGTCTCGAATACAGGTAAAACCCTGCATCCTGCTATCTTAGAGGCAACAGCTGTAGAGCGAATCTGGATACCTGCATGATTCAGGGGGCTTACTGCAATCACGTTATGCCAGATACACCCGTCACAGACCCAGGCAGATGCAATGCGTTGCACTCGTGTGCCGGGTATCCGTCCGCCTGGTTGTGTTGTGAGACACACGGGCAAAGGGCGGGTACCGTCCTGGTTGGTTTTCATGACCTGCCTCTCGCTACGTTCGTCACGGTCCCAACCTGCGAGTTTGCAGCGGGTAACGCCCGGGGCGGTGGCCTGCATCGGCCGACCCTGCTCCTCCTCGCGCTGCCAGTGGCCGAATGCTCTTAACGTGGCGATCGCTTCACCCTGTGCCTTTCCGTGTCCTTGTCTTCCCACAGCCCAGCAGGCCGAAATACAAGCCGCCTCCCCAGACCAACTTACTAGCTCCCAAGTTGCAGTTCCAGGTAAGGCCACGTGGCTGTTGAAAGCAACAAGGTGTCGGCTGGCAGAGACCTCCCAGTGCTTGATGGGACGAGGCCATTGCAGTTCGGTCGGGGGTATAGCTGAAGAGCAACTGTATGTCGCTTACTCCGAGCCATCTCCTTAGAGCTGCGGAGCGCCCGCGGCTCCCCCCGACGTCGGAGCAGGCGCCCGGCCTCTTGGGGCTTGGCCCTGTGCAGTTCAGAAGGGCCAAGCAGCTCTAACGGGGTGTCTGTTTGTGCCCTGAAATGTAAAGAGAGACTTTCGCCCTGGGGAATGGCATTGACGTCGATTGGCTCCCAGCACACACAGATTTTTACATGGGGGCTAGGAGAGAAAAACGGTTTCCAACCTTCTTCCTCCTTTGCTGCCTGCTGAAGGTATTCAGAGGCCCTGATTGTCAGAGGGTGCTAGGGTGACCAGACAGTAAATGTGAAAAATCGGAACAGGGGGTGGGGGGCAATAGGAGCCTATATAAGAAAAAGACCCCAAAAATCAGGACTGTCCCTATAAAATTGGGACATCTGGTCACCCTAGCAGGGTGCTGAGCACCCATAGTCAGTGGGAGAACTGTGGATGTTCAGGACCCCGGAAAGTTAGGCCAAAATATTCAGGCGTGGGCCAGTCCTGTTGGGACCCTCAATGTTTTGGAGGCCTGAGGCCTACCTGACTTGCCCAAGGTCTTGGCAGAGAGCAGAGTAAAGGCCTGACGTTCCTGGCTCCCAGATCTGTGCTCAGACCATTAGGCCAGACCTCCCCTTGTCTCTTCACTGCGGGATGAGGCCGGGGAGATACCGAGCTGGCAGGAGGAGAAGGGAATCTCCTGTTGAAGGACCACCAGCAGCCACCCTCCCCACCCGCCTGCCCCAGTGCGAAGGTCCCTCTCTGAAGCGCTGCCTGCTCTGGTCACTGGCTCTCTTCGCCCCTCTCTGTCTGTTGCCGCTAATTGTCCATGTCTGGCTCTGGGCCCGGCGCCTCTTGCTCCCCCCGAACAGGTGCCCGAGGGTCTGTGCGCCAGCTCGCCTACGCTCACTAGCCCCATAGAGTACCAGTCGCCAGTCAACTCCCTGCACACCCCGCCTCTCAACCGGCACAACGTCTTCAAGCGCCACAGCATGAGGGTAAGACGGGCCGGCTTGCTCGCCACCTTGCTTGATCCAAAGGGAGCGTTAAGCGGAGCACTTCGGGGTGAGGTGCAGTGCAAGCCAGCAGGGGGAGCTCTCCCCTCAATCAGTGCTGACCCCAATGCCCCAGCGTGGCACTAGGGGGCACTGTGTTGCAGGCAGCCGGGGGGGGGGCAGGGGCTCACTGGGGGGTGCTGTCTTGTGTGACTTTGTTCTTCGCTGTGCTACAGTGTCTGCTGCTTATGCAAAAACAATTCCTGACCCGTCTCTGGAGCTGATCCCAAGTGACATTGACCCCTTCAGTGCCGGCCTTGCCTGCGGCCCATGTGTGTCGCCGTACGCTGGACCCAGGCAAGCCTGCTGGAAGGCCCTGGCCAGCACCGTCTCACCGGCCTGGTGGGCCACCCACTGGCCCCAGGCACATGGGCAGCAGCAGCCAGGGACTTGGGACTGAACTGCTGATGAGCTCGGAAAAGCACAGTGGCTAGATGTCCCTTAGGCCCTGGTGGCCCTTCTCTGAGCGGCTGCATTAGTTTCATTAAAGGGACTTTCCACAAACGAGTCAAGAGGGGCAGGGATGCAACCCTCTGCTCTGGGTGTCCCTAAACCTCTGACTGCCAGAAGCTGGGACTGGGCGACGGGATGGATCACTCGATAACTGCCCTGTCCTGCTCGTTCCCTCTGGGGCACCTGGCCCCAGCCGCTGTCAGAACACAGGATACTGGGCTAGGTGGACCTCTGGTCTGACCCAGTCTGGCCGTTCTTATGTTAGGGACTGTGTCTTCCACACGCGTGTGTCCGCACAGAGCCTAGCACTGCCTGGTGCCTTTGTGAGCTACCACAATACACATAAATACAATAACCTACTAGAGTGCATAGCCCAGCACTCGTGAGCAGCCCTACCATAACAAACCAGCATGGGCCCAGATCTCTCACTGAGTAAC